TGGATTGCAAATATTCTGATGTTCAATTAACTTCTACTATTGTATTTGAAGACAGTCAATTTTATCATACTGCAAGGGGTCTGAACATCAAGAGTGACATGGACTTAAATGGGACAATTAAATATCACTTCATTATTAGATCATGTCTGATATATGACAATACATATGAAGGATTATTCATTGATGGAACATATTTGAGATCCACTCAGATTGATATAATAAATACTGAACTTAATAGAAATGGAGGAAATAAGATAATGAACAGTTTATGTAATACTATTAGTCTCAGTAATGTTACTGTTGCTAACAGTACCTCAACAGGATTGATATTTAAAACAGCAATAGTAACAATTAAAAATAACTTAATGTTCAAGAGCAATACTGGAGTAGTTGGAGGAGGATTAGCAATAAATGACTCATCACTATTAATAGTAACATCATCAGCTAACTTGGAGTTTATTGATAATCATGCTTCTTATAAAGGTGGAGGGATATATGTAGAACAGTCTACAAGTAGCGACATAAAAGTAATGGCACCAAATATACCTCTTACATTAATAAATAATACGGCTGGACTAGTTGGTGGTGATATGTATGGATATTTGGTGCACGAGTATCAGTTTAAATTGACAAACCCAGAGATAAGTTCAACAAGTGATGCAGTATCAGTATTGTTTTGCGACCCCATCAGAAAAAAAATTCATCACATTTACCCAGGCCAAACATTAAAATTTTACGTGACTTTCTTGGGACACAGCTACTTTGGAACAAAGTCTTCCACTGATGGCATACTAGAATTGTATTGGAAATCCAGTCATGATACCACCTTCACACTGGTCAGTCAAAAATATGCTCCCAATGCTACTTGTTCATTGATTGAATACACACTGAATCTTACTCAAACGACAAAATTTAACATTAGTTTGTTAGTATATAATAGCCATTATTCTGTACCTTTTGATTATATTATTATTGGGTGTCCTATTGGTTTTAGTACAGATAAGTCACAAGGCTCCTGTACTTGCAGTCAAAGTGTTTCAAGAGAGAATGTCACATGTGATATAAATAGTCTAAACATTGCACACAATGGTCTACTGTGGATTGGAACATATCATACCAGTACACCTTTCAATGCTAATGCAACCAATCCTAATGCATGCATTATCAATGAGGACTGTCTCCTCTATTGTTCTCCTGATCCTGTTACCTTTCAGTTGAATGACACTCATACTCAATGTGTGGATAACAGAGGACACAGAATGTGTGGATCATGTAGAGAGGGATACAGTCTACTAATGGGATCAAACAAGTGTGGACAATGTCATAATAATTACATGATGATAGCTTGGATTGCTCTGTTTGCAGTGATGGGTGTACTACTTGTGGTTCTACTGATTGCTCTCAATTTAACAGTATCAGTGGGTACACTCAATGGTCTACTATTTTATGCTAACATTGTTAAATTATACCAACCAGTCTTTTCAAGGAAAGGAGCATTACCAGTCTTGAGTCAAGTCATATCATGGATTAACTTAGACTTTGGGTTTGAGATATGTTTTTACAATGGTATGGATAGTTATGCTAAACAATGGCTCCAGTTTGCTTTCCCCCTCTACCTGTGGATCATTATCATTATCATTATACAATTGTGTAGGAGATATGGTAAGATATCAAGACTGATGGGGTCTCATACTGTTCCTGTTCTATCTACACTCTTCCTTCTCTCATATACTAAACTAGTACGTACTATTGTTATTGTGCTACACAAGCGTGAGGTAACTCTTCACTGTACAAATGAGTCAGTAAGATCAGTTAGTTTATGGTATGAGGATCCTAATGTAGAATATGCTAAAGGGAAGCATGCTGGACTATTTGGATTTGCCCTATTGATGTCTGTTTTCTTTGTCATACCATACACACTGTTCCTTTTATGTCATCCAGTACTTGAGAAGTATTTGTCCCATTTTAAACTGTTTAAGAGCTGGAGTCATTTCAAGCCTATTATTGATGCTTATAGTGGTCCAATGAA